GATATAACTTTTTTACCGATGCGGCATGGTTTCATCTTAGTGGATACATATATTCACAAAATTATCGTACGTGGTCTGCGGAAAATCCACACGTTAATAGAATCGACTTTACGTCCTAATGAAATAGGAGTTTGGGTAGCCAAAAATAATTGGACCTATTTTCTTTGAAGGTTATATTACTGCTGAGCGATATAGACAAAACATTTTGCAGCCATTTTTAAATCAGCTACATGATGACGAATTGCACAATGGTTTCTTTCAACAAGATGAAGCAACATCACACACAGCTAACACAACATTGGAGTTCTTAAGAGAATTTTATGACGACCGCATTATTAGTAGAGGCTTATGGCCTCCAAGATCTCCAGACTTAACTCCCTTACATGATTGTCTTTTTGGAACATTAAAAAATTCCATATATGTAAACCGTTTACACACAGTAGATGAACTAAAGGATGCTATAACAAATACATTAGCTAATATTACAGAAAATGAATTACATAATGTATTTGACAGTTTAAGAAGACGAGTAAGTCTATGTATTCAGGACGAACATTCATTATAAATAAACTGTGATTAAAAATAATAAATATTTTTATTCTTCATTTCAATGTTTAAATATTAGAAATTATAACAAATTAATTACAAAAATTATTATTACTGGCAGGGACAAAATTTTGGTCAAAATTAAAAGTACATACTCACTTTCTTTAAATTTAAACTGATAAAGCAATTATTATTTAAATTTTTCTTATAGGTAACAACGCTTTTTTATGTTAGAATTTAATAAATTTTAAATCAATTTTTTATTTGCATTTCTAAATCAGGAAAGTAAACATAAATTCATTTAAAAATTGTTGCTTTTACTTTGAAGATCGCATAAAAAAAAACAAGACAGATAATTAATTGTTAAAAATCGATTCTATGTTAGTTTTGAGGTTAGTAATAATAATATCTAAATCATTTTTATTAATCCATTCCTTTAACAAATTAATAAATCCCTCAAATTAATTAATGCTTCATTCTGCTTTTTGTGTTGTATTTTATTTTTATGACTAAAATGAATATGTGACCCTATTACCACTCCAGTTAACCCGCTACTGAACGAAGTAAATCACTGTCAGTGTTGCCAACTAGGAAGAGTGAAAATAATAGATGAGCGGCACACAAAATATTTGTAAGTAGCGGCACCTTCAATCATTCTGGATCTCTCGGTATGTAACACAGTTCTTACATTTGTCAATATAGGGCATTGAGCTAATTATCTACAAGTTTGATGTAACGAACTGTACTGTTAACGATACGTTAAAAACCTCGTGATCATCAGAGCAAGGCATTGTCTCATTGCGTCAATGCAAATTATATTAATACATTTTATCATAACATCAGTAAAATCTTTATATTATTATAGTGTCATATTAAAAAAAAACTGATTAACTTGTCGCTTCTAATCATTATCATTATCACTTTGGTAGATTGTTTTAGTGAAAATGGTATGGCATTAATGATATTACAATTAATTAGCACTGGACATTAATACTCGTAGATTCACTATATTTTTCCATGCCAATTGTAACAAAACTGATGTGGATGAGAGAAAACCGACGTGTTTACACTGTACAAAATTTCACTCAAATTCCACTCAATTTCACTTAATAATGTATCAATTTATGTCCACACACGATTGAGTGAAATTTTCACTTTATTAGTATGAATACAACTGAGTGGAACTATTGCATCAGAAATGGGTGAGTTTTACTCAAATTCGAGTTACTGCTAACTATCGATTGAGCGACTTTTGACACTATTCTAAGTATATAAAACCAATTTAGAGTTGACTTTTTCTCTAATATGATTTAAATTTAACTATTATTGAGTCATTTTTTAGTCAGACTTGGTTTTTAATTAACTAAATATTGAGTGCAAAATTAAATCACTCATAAATGATTAATTAGGATATAGAGTTGTTGAACTTCGCGGGGCTTTCTCCTGTCCTGGCTGAGATCCGCCAGCTGAGACCCGCCTCCGCCGGCTAAGGCCTGTAATCCTGGCGATCACACTTTTCTGGAGTATCTGACGGGCCCCTATAAACTGTGGTCGAGATTACAGAAGCAATATGTAAGTGGTGCCATCTTCGCGGCGCCATTCAAATTACTCGAAATTAATAAACATTTAAACTCACACAGTAATGAGGACATTTTTTACTCTGATTTAGGTACAAGTGCACCAAATACGAGTTTACGTGAAGAATTTATTTAAGGAGTACCTATATTTGAGTGAAAGTACTCAGCTTTAGTTTAAATATAATCACAAATGAGTAAAATGATGATGCCCAGTATTGAGTGAAAATGTACTCAATAATTTCAGTCAATGGATTTACTCCGAACCTTCATTGCTTTCACTAATTCAATTATCTAATAATTACAACTGTGCAGCCTTCAGTGGCTTATATCAAAAGGCCAAATATCCTAATCTCGCGACAAGACGTCGTCTGGCCAGATGCAGAATCTGCGGCTCAGCATTTAACAAAATTCCCCACCGGACATGTCAGTTTATAACAATTCCTCAGGACTGAAGTGATCAATAACTGCTGACAGGCCAAGCGTAAAATGACTAATAAAAGACAATAAAATTCTTCAAACGAATACACACGCCAAAGGACAGTGGGAATATTGCACAAATTTTATACAGAAAAAAAGCAATTATAAATTAATTAGTCGCCATTGGTTTTGTTTCAGTTAACACCGTGATAATTTGCCGTGACAGGGATTACTTGATATATTGCAGTTTTTTTCGAATGTTTGTATTATTGTGACAGTAGACACGAGGCAGTTCTAAACATCGTCTCATCGCTGATTAATTGAAAGAAAAATGGTTCCATTCAAATTCATTCACGGTAGTTCAAGTAAAAGCTATTTTTTATACTATTCAGGTCAACCTTGGCTATTCAATACCTACAATTTCAAATACTAGGAAACACTGGTATTCTCTGTGAAAAGAAGAGAAGATGTGAAGAGAATAAATCTGCACTAAAAAGACAAAACTACTTATTGCAATAGGATTTAATTATTTAATAGTTTCTTATTTATTCACATTTAAATGATTTGGAAATGGGTTATGTATGCCTACATATATTGTAAAACTTGACATTTAATCAATATTGATGAATGTCACATAGATATACAGGGTGTCCCTGAAATGCATGTACCAGCCTGACTACCCTAGATTAATGGGGTCAAAATGAAACGTTTCAGGCCTACTTATTTATACGGAAAAGTCAACGCCTACTGAGATACAACCTTCTCAATGTGGTACAGTAAAATAACGCTTTTTTATGTAACTTTAATATGGTTTGAATTAAAGATTTCTTACTTGACATGCGTCTTTATTTATTTGAGTCTAATAAATAAGTTGCAATGTAAGTTATCTCATGTGAAACTTAAATATCTGGTATATCGGGTAAAACAGCAAAATCTTCGGAGATAAATGTAATGAAATACAGGATGTTCAAAAATTCAGTTCTTGTATTTAGAGGAGTGGTTCAACCAACGAAAATAAGGAAAAATTTTATATGAAATAATTTTAAATAGAATAAGACGACTTACACGGTTTTTATATGATTGACATTACGTTACTATCGTGCGTTGCCAACGCCTGCGTACAAAAGTTAAGCAAGGTCAAATATGGTTAAGACTGATGTTTGGCATATTTTTTAGTAACGTTAAATAAAGTTTTATGCAATATACATAGTCGTATTACTTATCTAAGTATTTATTTCACCACAAGAAAAGGAAATAGTAGTACGCAAAAAACACTCAGACACGGTCCAATTCCAGATACCAATTGAATTGCGTAATGATGGACAGTTTAGTACCTCGTGTTATCCGCCGCGCCGTTGTCACATTGCTTGATATAAATATCGAATTCTAAATATTTTTTAGAATTAAGGATAAAGAAGTTCAAAAAACTGATAAACATTTTATTTTATGGTATTCTATGCACGTTATGTCAACATTTCTTAATTAATCGAACTTTTGTACATCAAGTTGAAGTTGGTAATTTTTTTATCGGAAATGGTTGCTTTTAGGACCCATGTCATATAAGGTTTTTTTGTTTATGTTAATGTATTCTGTCGACTGTTATAATTAAGGCAGTCAAACTTCACCCTGTATTTAGGTAACCATAACACTATGATATATTACTACGTCACAAATTAATCGAAACATGTGATCTGCTAGACCGCTAGCAGATTTCTCACCACACCGGGTGATTGCATGATTAATCTGATTGGTTGAGCCAAAACAAGTCAGTGTAAATTCACACGTTATTCGTATATTTGTGTCAAATATAGTAAAAACACAAAATAGATTGGGAATAATACATTTTTAAATGTCAAGTACAACAAAAAAATTAACAATAAATTGTAAAAAGAAATGTTCATTATGTACGTTCCATTTCAACCATTGCAATATGTAAAAAATCTATGTTAATTTGTTCAATTTTTATCAGTAGTTGAAAAAACTAATTTTTCTCCATCTCCAAATTTAATCTATTTGATACATTTTTGATTAAAATTGATTCAAAATAAGCGAAAAAATATAGGGTGTTCCAAATAAATTTCGAAAATATTTGTGGTTACTTAATAGTTAAACCGAAAGTTATAGAAATTAGTAAGTTTGTTGCCTGCTAGTCTTATCCAGTATCATGTCGTTAACACTAAGCGAGCTATAGGGGTGATTCTATGGTCTGGGTCACTCGGTATATGCCAGATATTTTTTAGTTATCTTTATCAACATGCTTCTTATGTTTAAAACATTTATATCTATTTGTAAATTCAAATTTAAATGTGGAATGGAGTATTAGAAAGTCATGATTTCCACAAACTTTTGTTTTGTTGCCTCTGTTATGTCTAGAGGCACTAAATTTTCCACAGCGGGATTTACGCTAGTTAAATTATTTACTTATTTAGCGTGAGAGCTGCCAAGAGATCGTTTAGATATAAATCTATAAGTGCAGTGAACACGTGCAGCAGTATTCCTTGTTTGGATTTTTATAAAACAGTTTTCCTGTAAGTAGCCTATGTTACTTCAACCTTAATTAGTCTGTTTTCATTATCTCAGGTATAAGTTTTATAAATTTACAGGGTGAATGTATTTTATTTTACGATCGATTTTAATATGTACGAAGCTTTATTTGACGTAAGAACACCCATATTCCTCATTTAGTGGATGATTTATTAAATAAAATCAGACGGTATTAAAGAATTATTGAACTGATTGAATTAAAAACTAAAATATAACTATGAGTAATAGGAAATTAACCCACTTGCAATGCTTGCACTAGCAGTCACTACGGATTTCTATGGTCAAATTAAGATTATCTCTATTTGATTATAAAAGTTACTTATTTTTGGACACCTTGTACAGTATATATATTTTTAAATGGGACTATAAATTCTTTTTCACGTCTTGATTGATTTTTTTATTCTCTTTCCAACCATATGAAAGTATGCCTTTACATAACGAAATTTTTGAGAAAATATGAGAATATTTTCGGCCTTTTACATTAGTTTACGGTGCTCGCTTTCTAAATCATATCAAATAGGAAAAACAATTTTGCATACGGCTATCTATCACGTATAGGTTTGTTTGTAATTGTTGTCACCTTTCAAGTTTAACTTATAACAAATTGAATGATTTTAATGAAGAAGTTGATTTGCTGCAAGTTTAATTGTTTGACAAGGTCAATTTGGTTCAACATCTTCATGAAAATGACTAACAAAGATACAGTTTTGTCGCTGGTAGTTAAATAACGCAAATAATAATCTCAACTATCCAAAAATGATATCATGGACAGATGAAAGTAATTTTTCTAACAACAGCATGTTTAACCGTAATACATCATACCATTGGAGCCACGATAATCCTAGCAATAATAATAATAGAAAGAAATTTTCAAAATTGATTTCATGTTAATGTGCGGTACAGTAGGTTCAAAAATATTGAACATTGATGGTTCTTTAACAGGTGAAAGGTATAACAATTTTTTGAGAGATCAGTTAGTTGCAAGAGTATTTGGAAGAATTAACAGTTAATGAGTATATCCATATAATTTTCCAAAAAGACGGTGCACATCCACATAATACCCAAATAAACATAAATTATTTGAATGGTACAATTGAAGACCGCTGGATTGGTACAAGAGGACCTGTACACCGACCGCCAGGACTCCCAGATATTCATCCTTTGGATTTTTTCTTTGGGGTTTCGTAAAAAGCGAAATTTATCTAACACCGCCAAATAATATTGATCAGTTGAAAGACAGAATTAGTACCGCAATAAATAATATTCCACATAACGTTACATTAAATGCGGTGTAATTCGAAGATGTGAATTATGTATCGAAAGAAATGGACAACAGTTTGAACAGTACATCTTTTGTTTATTAATATTATTAAGTTATTGTTACATACATATTTTTCGTATACAATAACTGTCTTAGATTTGCTTCAAGTTTATTAAACTTTGCTCTGTTAGCAAAAATTCTATTAAGATAACGCTGTCTCTATAAAGTAAAGTCGTTATATAACTGAAATTGTTGCTAACCTTCTCTGGGTTTCTTACAATAATAATTATTATTATTTTCTATATTACTATGGTGACTTGCTGGTACATAAATTTTAGACACTTAGAATATCATCTGATTCTCTTGAATAACAAACGGATGTTTCGCTAAATCCAGAAACTTTTACGTGAACATCGTTTGAATTTAATTTTAAATACAGTTACTAAAGACTTTTTATTCACTACACTTTTAGTATACAATTATCATGGCAAATTATGACTTTTAACAGTAGCAACCTCGTATCGTACGTATAATTACTTAAAAAAAAACGATGAGCCCTCATTTGGTGATATTTCCCGCGATGAAACTACAATGACTGTGGAATTGTCATAAAATCCCAGTTTAATTATATCATAAACTCATTTCCGTTCCCTAATTAGTCTTATATCGAATTTTATTTTTTTTCTTGACATTTTTTCTAATCTTTTTTTTATACTTAAAACTCCACGACCGTTGACTGAAACCACTTTGCTACTTTAAATTAATAGAGCTAATAAAATAATTACCAATAATTAATTCAGCAATAGTTCTAAACATATCGATGACGATAGAGTGAGTATGGTTCTGATTTATTTTATTGTTGATTGTCTCAAGTCAATCAAATAACATTAATGCAATTCTGTACTCTGTTTTATAAAAATTTGAACAGCCTATACAGTGTGGAACATTAACAACCACGGCATCTCTAGAATTTCTTTGGGACGCACGACACGAATAGTGTTTCGTTGCAGGGTGTCCGCAAGCGGATTGGCCATTCTTCAAGGGTAACTTGAGTAAGAATAAACCGATTTAGACCAAGTTACCTTGGTACAGTTTTGCGTACTAACCTAAAAAATAGTTTTTAAATTTTTGTTTGAATAGATTGATACTCAATATAAGTGATTTATTTTACAGACTTATACAGGGTGTCCGGAAAGGTAGTGTAAAAAATGAAGGGGGTATGCAGGGGAGCTCAAAATAGTTGCAGCACTTCATAAAAAATTTTTTCTTATCGGGTTTCGTTGTGGAGTTATTCGCCTTCAAAGAAAGAAGTTTGAAAAACATATTCAATTATAACTTCTAAGTCGTTACCATGACAACAATGAAATTTGGGCAATTAAAGTAACTCACGGTAATGTTCTTTTCCAAGTTTAAACTGATATTCAATGTGCCTGAATTATACAGGAGCAGACAAAATGATCCATCTAAATTTATACATCTTCGACAGTGTTGCCAATTTTGACATTTTTCTTTCATAGTTCGATTCCTCTCTCACTTTATTAAAAAAAAGGTATACCGTACATCAGTCGATATCTTGTACCGTTTTTGAGAAATTCGAATTTTATTAATAACATACATTTATTGTATCAATAATGTGATACTAACATTTTTGTAAAAACCTTGGTTTCTATAGAATTAAAAGAAAAAAGAGAACTGTTAAGTAAGATGTTCAATATGTGCACCTTGAACTTCAATGCATTTTCTGAAATTGCTCAAACACCTCCGCTGTACTTCTAATGATGTCGGCGTATGTAATTATGCGATTTAATAATTCCTCCTTACTATTTATAGGAGTTTGATAGACAAAACTTTTAAGATGGGCCCAAAAAGCAAAAATGAGAGCATTAAGATCGGGACACCGAGGCAGCCACGGAAAAGGACTACCTAGACCGATCCATCGATCGGGAAATGTGGTATTTAAAAAAGCCCTTACTGCCCTGCTAAAATGGGGTGGTGCACCATCGGGCATGAGCCACATGTTATTTCAAATGTTTAAAGGGACGTCTTCCAATAATGGGTCAAGGTGTTCTTGCAGTAAATGTAGGTATTTATCCCCATTTAAAGCTTCATCAATGATATTTGGTCCACTAAGTAATTTCCAATTATTCCCATCTATGTAATAAACTTTTATTAGTGTTTTGTCTGAATAATAGCATGGAGGTTTTCGTCACTTCAAATATGCAAATTCTATTCTATTTGAAAAGCGGTTGGCGTAAATCCGAACAGCTTCAGAAGCATTACATTCTGCAGGTTCGTACATTAGATGAATATCTGTAAATTCTTCATAGCTAACATGATATTGAATCAATATAAATGATGTCAAAATGATTATTGACAAATATTTAACTGCTAATTATACATACTTGTTGAGTCTTTTCAATTTCCAAAATTTTTACAAAAATGTTAATATCTCATTTTTGATACAATACATGTATGTTATTTATAAAATTCGATTTTATTCAAAAACGGTACAATATATCGATTGATATATGTGTAACCTGAGGGGTTATTTCTTTAATTACCTATCTACCGTTATGACCAGTATCATAACGAGTCTGGATTTCAAAAGATATTTAATTCTCGAAAGGGAATTTATAATTATCCTTACACTTTAATTAATACGTGGGAACTTAAAAAGGTTGCATGTTCAGAGAATGAATTTCAGGCACATACCCTCTATTGCTTACGTAGAATGTAATCCAGTGGCTGGCTATACAGGGTGACACTGAAGTTGAGAGAAACAAAAGGAAACACCAAAACTTTCAGGAAGGGTTTTAATAACAATAAACAAAACAAACAAACAAAATAACGACACAACGGCTCGAACAACATTATTAATTAATTTATTTACACGCGACAGCATACCGAGATTCAGGGAACGCGAGATCCATAGCAAAATTTTGAATAACTTTATCCATTATTAAATTAATCCGGGACTCTAAAACTTATAGACTGCACAATGTGGAACCCAAGGAAAAACTGTCTGCTTTTCGGAGACCTCTCCTGAATTCGACACCTCACTTCGACACGCCCATTTCTTGGATTTAGAAGTTTCTGTTTTCATCTTATTGGTGGACTCCTGAATATCGGGACGCTTTGGTATAACTATACTATGTTAATAATTATCTAATTGACTGGACTTACATTATATAAATAATTCTGTAACTGAACTCGCAAGTAACCCTAGCCTTCCTCTAGTGACTCCGTATAGCAATACGGAACGGATTAGTCGATTTCATTTAATCTATTCTTATATCTTGGAAAATCCGCCTAAAAACCAGCTATTTGATCTATTATTATTTTTCTAACAACTTCTAAAAACTTATTCTTGGAATTCCTACGTTCTTTTGAATGCATTTGGCGCGTTATTAGAAATATCGATTTTTCTCTTTATACCAGATGTTAAACACATGGCCCCGACGGCTAAGTGAACTTGTTCAAAAGAATATTGCTAAATTTCATGGGGCCTTCTCCGAAGGACGGCCTTGTGGCGACGCTAAACCTACTTGAAGACTCTTAACTTTTCGATAAATTAGAGTTGACTGAAACATTTTACTTTTTGGACCATCCGTTCCGAGAACTATAAACTATATATAGATATATCTTTTTTTTTAGAAAATTGAGAGAGGAATGTTTAATCCAGACATCAGTTAATATCAATTTAAACTTGGAAATTAACATTAT